GTTTGGGATGACATTTGGAATGGTGAAAAGTACCTTTATCTCATTACCAGTCTCTTGATCTCTTATATCAATGGCTCGTAAATGATACTGTTACTATTTGCAACGATCGGAATTCTAACAAAAGCTAGCGACTTTATTTTTCATATTTCTTATTAGTTCTTCTTGAATCATGCCATTCTGTCAAAGGCCTCGATTAATCTGTAGCCTTACAATCATGGTATTATAATATTAGATATAGAAGAATCTACGTCATTGTCGAGCATCTTCAACCTCATTTTCACGTCGAACAATATGAAATTTTATCCTATTTATCAATGCTTGATGTCATGAGCATAGCCATAATCATATAAGCCAAGGATTGCATTAGTAAGAATGGGGGTCGATATTATGAAACGTTATGATTGTAATGTATGTTTAGTGTAAGATTGATTTATGAGTTAGGTAGAGGGTGGATGTAAGTTTGTCCCTTGGGTCTTTTCGACAGATTTTATTTTGCGATTAGCGGGCTTTTCGCTTTGTATTTAAGCATGGTTCTTTTGTTACTCTTTATTTGGGCGGATTTTGGTTTCTGGAGAATTATTCCCGATGGGTGATTTGTAAACTTTTCAAGTTCTAAGTTTGTTATTTGTTTCAAGAATGAGAGAAAATATACTCATCAGTTGAGCCTACTTTAAAACTTAAGTGGTTAAAGATCTTTGTAGAGGGGATGGTGCAGGAGTGGGAGAAAAGACGGGGAATATTAGAATAGAACTTTAAGAGAAAAAGTAAAGAGAGAGAGGGAGAGGGTATAGAACCATAGTTTCAGAGAACTCAAGAGGGCTTGATTTTATTAGAATGGCCAACCCTCGTGTGGAGGAATGTGAGACCCACATCGGTTGGAGAGGGGAATGAAGCATTCCTTATAAGGGTGTGAAAACCTCTCCCTAGTAGACGCGTTTTATAGCTTTGAGGGGAAGCCCGGAAGGGAAAGCCCAAAGAGGACAATATCTACTAGTCGTGGGTTTGGGCTGTTATAAATGGTACCAGAGCCAGACACCGGGCGGCATGCCAGCGAGGACGTTGGGCGGGCCCCAAGGGGAGTGGATTGTGAGACCTTACATCGGTTGGAGAGGGGAACAAAGTATTCCTTAAAAGGGTGTGGAAACCTCTCCCTACTAGACGCGTTTTAAAGCCTTGAGGGGAAGTCCGAAAGGGAAAGCCCAAAGAAGACAATATCTGTTAGCAGTGGGCTTGGGCTTGAGCTATTATAAATGGTATCAGAGTCAGACACTGAGCAGTGTGCCAACGAGGACGTTGAGTCCCCCGAAGGGGATGGATTGTGAGACCCCACATCGGTTGGAGAGGGAAACAAAGCATTCCTTATAAGGGTGTGGAAACCTCTCCTTAGTAGACGCGTTTTAAAGCCTTAAGGGAAAAGCCCAAAGAGAACAATATCTACTAGGGGTGGGCTTGAACTGTTATAAATGGTATCAGAGCCAGACACGGACAATGTGTCAGTGAGGACGTTGGGCCCCAAGGTGGGTGGATTGTGGACCCCACATCGGTTGGAGAGGGGAACAAAGCATTCCTTGAAAGAGTGTAGAAACCTCTCCCTAGTATTCGCATTTTAAAGCCTTGAGGGAAAGCCCAAAGAGAACAATATCTATTAACGGTGGTCTCGGGCTATTACAAGGAATAATGAAGGTTAGGACGGGACTTTTTCTATTTTTTGTGGGCTTAGAAAATAATATTTTACTTGGGCTTACTCGTAATTTATACATTTGATTATATATTTTTCTCATGAATGTTCATTTAATTCTTTGGAAACCCTCCACCATTCTAATGATGCAATAACTCCATGGTTCCATGTAACACCCAAAACTTGTAAGCCAGTGCTAATTTTGAATAATGTAAATTGATGGCTTAGGCTTTGGACACATTTGACACTGCGGTTGTTTCGCCCATTCATTATGCAATGTTCACATCTTTCACCATCTTCGCCAGTGTCATAATGTTCAAGGTATTTTTTCTAGAATTTAAACAATTTTGTTTGGTCTTGCAGAGACTGATTTGTATATATACTTGTATAATTAGGATTGGTCTGGTCAGAGTGCTAGCAGCATTGCATCAGAACTCTGTGGATTTGTAACCATACTTTCCGGGACCGTCGTCTTGCACGATACAAGATCGCCCGATCCTGCCTCTGTTTCAGGTATCTGTTTTCGTCGAAGATTATTGATTTTCTGTTCCTTTCTCTGCTGTTACGTTTATTTTTCGTTTGCCTAAACGATACACGAACACATGCTTCTGTCATTGTAGTAAAAATTGAATATGCTTACCGCCAGTAGATATTGTCCTCTTTGGATTTTCCCTCAAAGTTTTAAAACGTGTCTGCTAGGGAGAGATTTCCATACCCGTTCTCCTCACCAACCGATGGGATCTCACAATAAGATTGGTAACAATTAATGAATCAATGACACTTTAGTTTGGGTTGAATATACGTTCTACACGTATATTGGACATGAGTAGGACACGTCTTTAGCACAATACATATATTTTGAACATTTGTTAAGCAATAGACACAGAGTATGGGTGTCGTATGTCACAATTGTGCTCTTATGAGATGTTTGTAAGTGATTGTGCGGTACTCACTTTCACCATTGAGTGAGTCAGCCAACTCGAAATCGTGTTACCTTTGGTCGAACAACGTGTACCCAAGGCCCCCCTTTTAGTAGATCCGGCTCTACCCAAACTTTTCTGGTGAGCAATTTTTGGATAACAAACAGACCTCCCCATAAGGTAATTTTAATGTGGCCAATTTTCCTTCTTTTGCAATCAGTTTCGCTACAGTGCTCTAGCTAATTGTCCCCCTTTTTCGAGTGTGATTTCTATGTTATGTATGGTCGTGCCTAAGGGCATATCGGTTGAAGTAGATTCTTCTTTTTAATCAATCAAAACCCCTTCTCAAATTGTACAAGCTTCTTCCGAAGCATACGGCTTTCTGGATGTAGATGATGATATCTATACATATGGATCTTATATATATTGTCCAATGAAGTACCACATGAGTGAATATACAGGAATCCAAATCCGCCGAATCACTCATGTTATGATCTTCTACATCCTAGATCTTCCCGTTCCTTCATCTGACTTATGTTCTTCATGTAGCATTTAGACCGAAGGTTTTAGAAAATGGGGATTGAGAGAGAATTTAGAAATAGAGTTTGAAAGCATGATTGAGAGAAATGAAAAAACTAATGTTATAGGCTATAAGTGGAAAATGCAACACAACGGCTTAGATAGCATACAACTCTCGGTAGGAAAAATTGACGACTAGTCGCATATTCCTATAGTACATTCTAAGGCATTTCAGGTCTACCAAGCGTACACATGATTCTGCGGAAACGTCATACACTTAGAAAATACAATAAAGAAACTATATATCATCATGAAATCTCCGTATTCTTAAATGCATAAACTAACAGATTTCTCTGCATATTTCTTTTTGACAATTTCGACAGAGATGTACATGTCTGTCTCGCCTCAAGTGTCGTGGTATTTTCCCGCAAATGGCGATACCTGGAAACGACAATCCGAAGAAATGCTATTGCCAGATTTTGATGCAATCCTCAAACAAGACCATTTCACATGAAATGAAAGGTAATTCATGCACATTACTTACTAATGCATCTCCACTGCACACCAAACAAATGCAACTAAATTTTGGGAGAAATCTGCATATATAGTTAGTTTAATGCGTTATTTGGTAGAACGGTTTCAGCGGAGTTTCGTTTTCTTTCTCCGCTCGACCGTTCGAGATTGAAGAACGAGTAGGGCTTGTGCGACGTAGTATGTACTTTGTAACTATTCATTTTGTTCCTAAAAATTGAAACACAGCTTCCTCCCATCCCTTTTCAGCTTTAGGCCTCTAACACCTCCCTCTCTCATAACATTATTTTGTAAAGTAGAACAGATCTTGTGGATCAAAAATGTAATCTGCTTTGTTTTGTGTGTATTCTTTTTATTCACTCATTCTCTTAGCCATGGAAATGTGAGATATTTGATGCTAAAATGTCACGGCCCAAGCTCATCGCTGGTAGATATTGTCTTCTTTGAGCATTCCCTTTCGGGTTTCCTCTCAAGGATTTTAAAACGCGTCTATTAGGGAGAGGTTTCCATACCCTAAGGGTGTGATATTGTCTTTTTTGGGCTTTTCCTTTCAGGCTTTCCCTCAAGGTTTTTAAAACGCGACTGCTAGGGAGAAGTTTCAACACCTTTATAAATGGTGTTTCGTTCTCCTCCCTAACTAACGTGAGATCTCACAATCCATCTGGTTCAGAGTCTAGCGTCCTTACTAGCTCTCATTCCTTTCTCCAATCAATGTGGGACCTCCATCAAATCCACTCCCCTTCGAAGCCTAGCGTCCTCGTTGGCACCTCGCCTCATGTCTATCCCCTTTGGGGAACAACCTCCTCGCTGGCATATCGTTCGATATCTGGCTCTGATACTATTTGTAATGGCTCAAGTCCACCGCTAGCTGATGTTCTCTTTGGGCATTCCCTTTCGAGTTTCCCCTCAAGGTTTTTAAAACGTGTCTGCTAGGGAGAGGTTTCCACACCCTTATAAAGGGTGTTTCGTTCTCCTCCCCAACCGATGAGAGATCTCAAAATCCACCCCCTTCAGGGCCCAGCGTTCTTGCTGGCACTCGTTTATTTCTCCAATCGATGTAGGACCCCTACCAAATCCACCCCCTTTCGGGGCCCAGCATTCTTGCTGGCATACCGCCTCGTGTCTACCCCATTCGAGGAACTGCCTCCTCGCTAGCACATCGTCTGGTGTCTGACTCTGATACCATTTGTAATGACTCAAGCCCACCACTAGCAAATATTGTTCTCTTTGAGTTTTCCCTTTTGGATTTCCCCTCAAGGTTTTTAAAACGCGTTTATTAGGGAGAGGTTGGGATCTCACGTAAAACCTCACTTTTAATGCAATTTCTATGCCGAAAGTTTTGATTTCCCAGCTCGATGTTTCAATTTTTGGTTGAAAAGATACATAAAGTGATGAGATAAAGATCTATATATTGGCTAGATGAAGAACATTAGTGGGATAAACTTCAGTTTGAAGTTGAGAACCATAAGCTTTGGATGCTATGAGCTCATTGACAGCTTCTGTTGGATGTAACGCATCAAAAAACACATGGTTGGTTCTGTTTGGGCAAGTTCTTCCTCCTTTTTTGCACAAAACTCCATTTCCACCTTCACTCAGAGATGGCACCTCACAACAAGGCATGGCTGCCTCTATAAAACCTGAAAAGAGCCCATCATGAGTTGGTTTAGGTTGAAACTCCATTGAAGGTGTGTGTATATGCACAGATGTTTTGAATGCTTTTATCAAGATTTTACTTCTTTTAGGAAAAACGAACGTTCGATCTTAAAAGCATTTGAACAAAGAAATGTTTCGTTCTTTGGCTCTAATATGTTATAATTACTAGTGGTATTCGTGAGTTAGGTTGGATTGGATCTGGACATTTTTTTAGACCCAATCAAATTATTCAAACCCAAACAATTCTTAAATTTTTTTTTTCAAAAATTTGTTTATAATGAAAGTTAAACGCTAGTTCGTAAAATATCTATTTATTTTTAAATATTTAATTAAAATTTACAACTCAATTTGAATATATATTTTGAAAAAATTGTCCCAAAATAGTTTAAATTTATTTTAAAGTGGTTTGGAGAATAAATAATAAAAAATATTTATTATTAATTTTTTAAAAAAGTAATAATAAATTTGGGTTGGAATTCATGAACTAATGTAACTCATAAAATTTTCTTTTATTTGAATTAAACTCATTCAAATAAATTCATAATTCAACTCAAATTGTCAGTTTTTTAAATTTTTTTAACACCGCTGAGGAATGTTTTCTTTTATCAATTATAGAGTTTATCGAGAATATATATATTTGTTTTTTTTAGTTTAAAACAAACTTTTAAAAAATTATCAATAGCAATAAAATTTAATAAATGGACTTAAAAACTAAGGACCAATGCCCTACAAATAATAAATTTAAGATATGGACTTAATAAATATTAGGGAACCAGGCTGCAAACCATTCATGATCCTTGTCTCTCTTTCAGAGGACATAGTTAATATTAGAAAAATAAATAAATAAAAAGTTTTGACCTTTATATTTGACTAAAAGTTTTAAGAAGTAAAAAAAAACTACTCCGGCCATTAAAAATTACGGGGATGTTCATATGACTCGATAATCCGATTAATTTAGACTATCTAATTGAACTCGAGTTGGGTTAAAAAAAATTCGGTTGGGTTGGGTCGGGTTAAACTTTTGAAAAATCGAAAATTTGATTTGATTTTTAGGTTGACATTTCTTTGGTCAAGATCCGAAACATTAGGGATGTTAGCGAAGTGTTATGGCCTGTAAATGTTTGATATTTGAATTTTATGAGAGAAAAATAATTTTTTTTAAATAATTAAAAAAATCCAACCCAACCTAAAATAGATGATTGGGTTGGGTTTGGTTGTGAGCTCTATTCAAGTTGTTTGAGTCACCCATCCAGCCAACCCAAAATTTTAGGTTAGTCCAAAAAAATTTCCCTGTGTACACTCCTACCCACCACACCCCATGTATTTTCGTTCAACAATAATGCAACAGTGAAAAATCAGACCCAATTTTAACCTTTAACCTACGATCTAATTCGACTCTTTCTCTACCACACACTTCACCACAGAGAAAATAGTGTGTCGGAGAACGAGGATCAATGTATTAGGTAAATCAAGAAACACACAACCTTTCAAAAAAATCCGAGTAGATCATGCAAGAAAGATAAACATTTAAACGACAGATCTTTATGATGTAACCTAACGGTAATAATTGCAACGTACCTTTCGAGGCAGGTTGTGAGATGATGTCATTAATGATTTGATATGAATTAAGGAAGACAAGGTTGGAGCGTGGCATTTGTAGCTTTAGAACATCCACTAATGTCTTCAAGTTGAGATTGAACAATTGAGCTGCTTGGTTTAGTGTCTCAATGCATTGGCCTTTGTTATTTGCTCTCACCATTGGACTGCACCCTAATGGGTTCACTGAAATCACCACCATTTTCCTTGCTCCCAAACTATACAATTTCTGTCATTCCCATCACCATACAAAATCATCTACTTGTTATCGTCATCGTTTCAATGCATACTTTTCAAATTAACACAATATCAGACTCGGGTTTGTTTTCATGTAGCTATTAGAAATGTTCGTGGGTCGGGTTGGATTCGGTTGAGACAGTTTTAGACTCAACTCAATGCATACTTTTCAAAATTAACTCAATATCAAACTCGAGTTTGTTTCCATGTAGCTACTAGAGATGTTCGTGGGTCGGGTTGGATTCGGTTGAGACAGTTTTAGACACAACTCAATGCATACTTTTCAAAATTAACTCAATATCAGACTCGGGTTTGTTTCCATGTAGCTGCTAAAGGTATTCGTGGGTCGGGTTGGATTCGGTTGAGACATTTTTAGACTCAACCCAATGCATACTTTTCAAAATCAACACAATATCTAGTCTGAGTTTGTTTCAAAATCAACACAATATCTAGGTTGAGACATTTTTAGACTCAACCCAATGCATTTTTAGACTCAACCCAATCCAATATTTTAAACTTGTATAGACCAAAATAAAATAAGTTACGAGGATCAAAATGAAATTAAAAAAAATTGACATTTTGTCGATAACAAAGGAAACAAACCTTGAGTTGGCCCGATAAGGTGGCGGTAAGATTGGCCGTGAAGACCGGAAGGCTGACTTGAGCATCGGAGTTGGTGAGAAAGTAGTTGAACGAGTAATCATTCCCTCCCGAGCCTACCACGAACAAATAATTGTCTAACGATGACTTTCTCCTTCCGATCAAACCTCTCAATTCTGGTAATGTCCCCTCCTCAAAGTTTTTGATTTGTCTATTTAAAGTTGTAACATTTCCCTACCATAAATAGAAAAAGAACGAATGAACGATAAGAATATTGGACAAAAATTATGTTGGAATTGTGTAGCCATGACTTCAAACAAAAATTTGAACTTCAACATTGTCATACTATTTCAGGTCACCGTCATATTCATTTATGGACTAGTCTTTCCGGGTATTTTTTTTTTTAAAAAAAAGCAATGAAAAATATATTAGAGTACCTTTAATTTTAAAAATAATAATATAATAATAATAAAAGAATTTATCAACCTTAAATTTCATAATATCAAAAAAAAAAAAAAAAAAAAAAAAAAAAAAAAAAAAAAAAAAAAAAAAAAAAAA